CAACATTTTTCATTAATAAGTATCTTGTAAGAAGACGACTGAGTCAGAATCTACTCAACAGCAGAGGGTTTTTAAGGAGATCACTACATAGATATATTTCTCATTATGTTTTGCCTAGTGATTTTATTATCCATCAATGATTCTTGCCTGAAACAACTATACCGTGGTGGTTGCCAAATGGTGATTTTCTAATTCTATCATTTCTTCTACATTTATTAGTTGGAATGCTATTGTAAAGAAATGCTTTCCTTTCTTCCCCATTTACATATGTACGTGTGTGTATGCAGGTGTCATGGATTGAATTGTGTCCCCCAAAAGATATGCCGAAATCCTAACCCCCGTACTTGTGAATGTGACTCTGTTTGGGAATAGAGATTTTCTTCTGTTATTGCCTGGAAGGCAAGAATTGGTCTCTTATAAAGGGGAGTACAGACACAGAGAGACATATACAGGGGAAGGCAGACACCATGAGAAGATACGTCTACAAGCAGCCAAGGAATACTAAGAAATACTTGGGACAACAGAAGTGGAAAGGGACAAGGATCTTTCCCTAGAACCCATGCGACAGCCTAACTCTGCCGACATCCTAACCTCTGACTCCTATCCTCCAAAACTGTGCCATAGCTCCTGTTTTTTAAAGCCACTCACTGGTAGTATTTTTTGTTATGGCAGCACTAGGTAACTAGGACAGTAGGTATGCATTTATGTCAGTATGGACTCTTGGGGTCTTTGTTTATTATAGATTCCATATCTCTTGCTTCCTATGCCAGTTCCCTTTCCACTACACTGCCGTGATGCGTATATACCACTCTTTCAGAGAAGACTTAGCACCTTATCACATTGGTTAGAAAACCAAATTGAAACTTTGCTTTGGTATTTGGTTGTATGAGTCCAACGGAGAATGCCAACCTACAAGTAAATATTGGCCATTTTTTAGTACTAATTTTGTTATGTGATTTAAAAGAAACAAACATTTACCTTGAGTTCACCATTATGTCATTGTGCAAGAAAAATAAATTAGCAATTTAGCTGAAGTAAGATGTGACTTAAAATCTAAACACATTTTGTTTTTAGGAACAAATGTAGCTGACCCTCAAGCATAGAGAGATGCCATTTTGGGTTTCACGTACCTCTGTCCTCTAATATGTATTCTAAAGGAAATTCCTCTCTGAATGTAGCCATATAAGATCAGTATATTAATTAGAATTCTTTGGGAGTAATATAGCAAATTGAACCAGGTTGAGTTGGACAATCTAATGTACAGTTCTCAAAGCTTGATGAAATTGCCCTCCAAAGGGACATTTGTCAGAGAGTGGGGGCTGTTTTTACGGTTATCATAATGAGTAGGTAGGGGTGATACTGGCATTTAATAGGCAGGGGTAGGTACGGTGAATGTCCTGCCATGCATGGGACAAATCCCATTCAGCATGAATTGCTCTGCCCCAAAAGCCAATGACATCCCATAAAGAAACACTGATGGTGTAACCTGAGGTCGGGGAGGTGACTGGGCCTCATAAACTGATCAGGAAACTTAAAGGCCTTCAGACAGCACTGAGTGGAGCATCTCTGCTTCTCTCTGCTTCTGCTTCTCTTTTTCCCTCTGCATGCTAGCTTTCTCTGTTGCTCGGTCCATGTGGTAGAAGATGGCAGTGCCATAGCTCTCAAGTTCACAGAAATTAGGACTCTCGGTTGCAAGAAGTAGCGTCTCACAGAAATCAATAACAGCATTGCAGATGGACCTCAGGTGCAATAGGACCCAGATGCATGAACAAGAGTGTATGCAAGTGTGTCACTCGTCTCTCTTCCCTACGTCTTTTTACATATCTGTGTTGGTCCTATCTCTCTGCAGACTTTCTCTATCCCCCAGTCAATAAAGTAAAAACTGGCACCAACCAGTAACTCCTTGGGTTATAATTCTTCAGTTCAAGAAAGCAGTTATACCAAACTAGAACCCTAGTCCAATTCTAAATTTATGGGGATACCTTTTGATTGACCCAACTTGAGTCAGCGACCAACCTCTGGGCAAATAAACTGTGGCCAGAGAGATGGGTGCTAGGACCATGATCTCTCCAGAAGCTGCACTGTGACTGGAGGGGGCAACACAGTTCCCAGAAGAGGAGGAAATGCTGGACAGCCAGTTGGAGAAGAGTCCACTGCACCTCCAGTAGGAGGTCAGCCCAGACTGAGGCAGCACCCACATCTTAAATCCCTTCCATGGAAGGTGCCCACGTGAGTTTGAATGAGTTGCTCAATCTAGATTACTCAGAGGACAGGGGGTGAAGCTCTGTAGTGTAGACTGGGCTCCCAGGAGGTTACATCTGTGGATCAGGAGGCAGCTAAGGTAATACTTGTGAACTGAAAATAAGAAGGTCGCTTTCTTTAAATGGAAACAACAACAAAAACCTCTCACACTCAAGGAAAAATATCTCTTAAAATATTCGCCTTGTTTTTAGGGTAGTGAAACTATTCTGTATGATACTGTAATGATGGACGCGTGGTATTATGCATTTGTCAAAATCCATAGAACTGTATCACACCAAGAGTGAATACTAATGTAAACTATGGACTTTAGTTAATCATAAAGTATTAATATTGGCCCATCAATTGTAAGAAATGTACCATAGAAATGCAAGATGTTAATAAGAGAAGCATTGTGCAGGGGAGGGGGTATATAGGAACTCTGTGCTTTCTGCATAATTTTTCTGTAAACCTAAAACTGCTCTAAAAAATAAAGTCTATTAAAATGTTTTTAAAAAAATATTAGCCCTGCTTTCTTAATTACTTTGTATCTGCTTGAGTTGGATACTTAAGTTTGTGCTGAAGATGGTTTCCTTTATGTTACTATTCTGAATTGATAGAGAGGAAGGTAGTGGTTTAGTGATCTATTTCTGTGGGCTGGTGCTTACATCTTTAGCTGAAAAGGGAGATTAGAGAGGGGGAATGCAATTTCAAGAAATTTTGCTTGAGCTAGCCACTAGAATCATTCAACAATGTTAAATGTATGGCTTCAGAATAGATAGTTTCCATTTTCACCTGCCACTTATAGGCAGGAAATGGCAGAGCGAAGGAAATGTGGTGGATGACATAGTGTTCTTGCTTGGATTTCATAGATGATGCTGGGCTTCCCACAATTGATCACTAGAACTTTTCACCAGTGACTGCACCATTGCTACATCCCCACCTGTCAATTTCCAACAGAGTCCTCCCATCCCTACATCCCTGAACATAGGACTGGCTTCAGGATTGGTTGCTTTAAAACAATTATTCTAAAACTGCATCTCTTCTAGTGCTCAGAAATGGAGACATTTCCTAAAAGGAGGCGAAATCAAGTCTTGTGAAATAATTATCTGATTAAACTCCTACAGTTACATACAAGTGGCTGTTTCTTATATTAAGGTGTCTCCAGCAACAGAATTTCACCAATTCAGTCATTCTTGTTATTCAACCCTACCAAGCCTAAAAAGCTCTAGACTGACAGGTAGGAAATAGTACCTGACACACGTGGGCGATTAGTAAATATTAATTGAATTGAATTGATGCCTGAGTTTTAATTCTATCTGTGCCATTAGTTACTAGAGAGAGCTAGGTTTCATTTTTCCGTTTATTACAGGGGGAGATTAAAAGACTAGCCTACATTTAAGGTCTCTTGCAATGCTAAAATCTAAGGAAAATAAAATTTTTTGTAGTGCAGTTAATATTTTGAGCCATTTCTCAAGTTTTATGTCCAGTTTTTTGAGAATTAGTTGCACTATTGAGCCCATGCTACTCTCCAACTTGCTCATGACATGCCACAGTGACCTTCTCTTGATCTCTGAAAAGGCCAAGTCCTCCTGCCTCCAAAGTGGTTCCCTTTGTCTGGGATGCCTTCCTCCCACACTTTGCAAGGTCAGTGGCTTCTCTTCATTGGGTCTTCGCTTAAATGTCATCTCCTTAGAAGCCTTCCCTGACTGCTTATCTGTAAGAAGCATCTTCCTTAGGCCGACACGCTCTGTTACATCGCCCTATTTATTTCTATATAATTTTCATTACAATATATAATTATCTTATATGTTTACTGGCTCATGATCGCCTTCTCTCCCCAAACTGCAAGCTCCATAAGGGAAGGGAGCTGTCTATATTAGTTTTCACTGTCTATCTTTAGAACCAGGCTTCCAAAACCCATGTAATGCCTTTTCTGAAACTGAAAAGCCTATCTCTTCCTCTGAGAAGACCCAGCCTCTTGCGAGCCAGGTAGGGGCTGAGTTTCAGCTCTTCCTTGTCCCTTTGCCTGGTACACTTGTTCCGTGAACAACCCACACAACTGTATATACTCTTCCTGCCCAACACCATGTAAGGTACCTGGCAGATAATAGACACATAATGTTAGTTGGATATCTAAATGAATATTTTAATTTTTAAACCAACTTTATTGGGGTACAATTTGCTTACAATAAAATGCAACCGTTCTAAATGTTCAGTTCAATGAATTTGACAAAGACATGCACCCATATGTTATGGATTGAATTGTGCCCCCCAAAAACATGTGCTGTAAATCCTAACTCTAAACCTGTGGTTATAATCCCATTTGGGAATGGGTTTTCTTTGTTGTGTTAATGAGATACTAATACTGTAGGGTGTACCTTCAGTCAATCTGTTTTGAGATATAAAAGAGATCATATAAGCAATCAAGGAGTAAAGATGGGGGAAGATAGATGCCACACCCCATGAAGATCACCAAGCAGCCAAGGAATAGGAGCTAAAGAGAGAAGGACTCCCCCCTTCCCCACACCGGGCTGACAGAAAGAGAAAGCCTTCCCCTAGAGCTGGTACCCTGAATTCAGACTTCTAGCCTCCTGAACTGTGAGAAAATAAATTTGTTTGTTAAAGCCACCCACTTGTGGTATTTCTGTTATAGCAGTATTAGATAACTAAGACACCATGTAACCACCACCACAATCAGAATATAGAAATTCAATTATGCCAGAAAGTTCCCTTATGTCCTTTTGCAGTCTACTTGTCTCTCACATCCCCTCTTCCCCCAACCTCAAGCAATCATTGGATCTCTTAATTTTATTTAGTTATATCTCACCTCTTTAAAAAGAATTTGAAAATGGCCTTAAAAGGGAGTAAATACATCAATAAAAGAGGGGGGAAAAGAAGAAAAAACAAGATGAAGAGGAGAAAGATATCCCAACCATAAAGGTCGATAGAGCGACTGTGATTGAACTTGAAGGCAGAAGCTTGGCTGCAGCCTCCTCATAGCCTAGATAAAGAGGGGAATGTGGTACTTAAACTATCATCTGAGAGGAAGAAGTATTTCATTTTCTCAGGGTAGGCAAAATTTCGTTAGCACAAAGAGCTGAGATGTTCCTTGTACAAGTTATCAGCCAGAAGTTTTTGGAGGATGCTCAATGAGAGTATCATAGCAAATGCGGGAGGAACATTCACTTGTCTGTTTCTTCTGGGCAACCTTCCGTAAATGTTTCTATAGCAAATATTAAAGTATCTTCCCCAGATAAGACTACCCTCAACCAGGCTTTTCAGAGAAGTGGGATATTAAACAATTCAAAATTATCTTCTCTAGGCAGGGCCTGGAGCTCCAGAATCCTTTACTGATAAACAAGAACAGAAGCATTTGTTTTGAAAACCAGGTGAGCAGGTGGGAGGGTTAATGTTCAGTTATGAAACTAAAAAAGAGCTGGCCAGGATCCCTGTCTAGATCAAAGGCCTCCCCACCCCTGCCTGGAGCTGGGCTGGAAGGGGGGTGGTATCTGAAGAAAAGCCAAGATTTTCTTTAGGAATGAGTTTTGGAGCTGGGCCAACATTAGACAGTGCTCTGTTAAGATGCCAAAGTTCTACACAGTAGAACATTAAAAGTAACATTTTTAATATGGGAGATATTCTGGGCAAGTTTTGACAGCTTCTCACTTCAGCCATAGAAATTTCTTTGTAATGTCCTTGTTGGAAGATTGAGCTCTAAGCCACATAACTCTTGCTTGTTGATGGGTTAGAAAGGCCCTCCAACTAATACCCTCTTCCCTGCCAGATTCTGAATTGACTGAGAAATAAGACAAAGGTGCAAAGAAGATGGGAGCAAAAAATATATCTGCTAGTAGAAAATGTGGCATGTACATGGGTAAGTGAGTTTCCTGGTTCTGAGACTCAGAATTAGGCAGCCTTTCCCACCCCATTGTAGGCAATGCCAGCCCAGTGCAGACTTCTGTAAGAGTAGGACAAGGAGAAGTTGAGAACACGTGGTCCCAAATGGAACTTACTCCCAAGACAGAGAGAGAGAAAATCAAAGAGAGTGAGAGAGGAAGAGCAAGCAAGCGAGCAAGCTAGAGAGAGAGACAGAGAGATAGAGAAAGATAGAGAGAGGACGGGACTGGGTGACCCTGTCCAGTTTTACCTTCCAAATTCACCAATCAGCATGAGTCCCTCCCCCTCCCCTGGGCCTACCAGAACAATTATTCCCTATGTCTCTGCTAGGATGAATTAGCCATAAAAGTACCACTGAAGGAGTTGATGGCATGCTATGAACTTGATATTGACCATTTAAATGTTGGTGGCTGACTGCCCAAGGCAGTAATGTTTGTACACCTTTGGTGGTTGAGGTTAAACTCTTCTTCTTGAAAGGAAAGCACACTTTTCTTCTTTCTACTTTGCTATAAGAAGACTGCACCTACAGTTAGTTATGGCAGGGGTGTGTGTCTAAGCGGTACCAGCCATTAAGATCTATATTAAAAGAAATGCACCCTTGTTTTACACTACTTAACTCTCATCTGATCCTTCAAGTTCATTTTTGCTACTCCTTGATTTGGGGGTGGTATTATAAACATGAAGGAGTACTGGTGGCAATGGTTAAGCACTTGGCTGCTAACTGAAAGTTTAGTGTTTTGAACCCACCAGCTGCTCCATGGGAGAAAGACCTGGAGATCTGTTCCCATAAAGATTACAGCCTAGGAAACCCTATGGAGCAGTCCTACTCTGCTCTATCCAGTCACTATGAATCAGAATCGACTTGACAGTACCCAGCGACATTATAAACAAGATTTTGCAAGAGTATTAAGAACAGTGATCTAGATATGCTCATGTTGCCTGGTCCAAAGTTGTTTCGGGACAGTGGTGTGCTGATAAAGTTGTAAAAACTGGTTCCCTGAAATAAAGGAGTCTTGATTTATAGCTTTTGCCATTTTCAGATTTCTGTGGGATAAATCCTCCTTTCTCTGGTTGATTTCAAGCAACCAATGTGACATTACTAAACGTGTAGTTGGGAAAAGAAGCACAGTGGTAGCACACTATTTTATGGTACTTCCATTAATAGACCTAAATAACCTAAAAAGACTAGATATTAGTAAATAAAATATTATTAAAATAATTAGGAAGTGATGCATTTTGAGTATTTATTATATCAGTTTTAACAATTTAGTTAATGTTAAGTTTATATAACTTAATTTTTAAAAATATTTTGTTGAGTTTTTGGTGAAAGTTTACATAGCAAATTTGGTTTCCATTTAACAATTTCTACATGTATTGTTCAGTGACATTGGTTACATTTTCAACATTACATTAATATTCTTATTATTTCCATTCTGATTATTCTGTTTCCATTTTTCTTGCTTCCCTGCCCCCCTACCCTCGACCTTTTCATCTTTGTTTTAGGGTAAATGTTGACCATTTGGTCTCAAATAGATGATGATAATGATTTTTTTTTTTTTAAATATTAAAGGAGCACAGTACTCACAGGTGATAGTTTATTTTATGAGCCAATCTGTTATTTAGTTGAAAGGTGACTTCCAGGAGTAGTTTCAGTTCAAAGTTTAAAGTGTATCTCAGGGATTCCCCAGATCTCTGACGGTCCAGTAAGTCTGGCCTTTTTTTTTCAAGATTTTGAGTTTTGTTCTACAATTTTCTCCCATTCCATCCAAGACCGTCTATTGTGGGAACCGTCAGTAGTGGTAGCCGGGCACCATCTAGTTCTTCTGGTCTCTGGATAAGTGAGTCCGTGATTTGTGTAGGCAACTGCTCGTGTAGACTGGTTTCTTCTTTGAGTCTTTGGTTTCTTTCTTTCTTTTTTGCTCCAGATGAATAGAGACCAATAGTTGTATTTTAGATAGCTGCTTGCAAGCTTCTAAGACCCTAGATGCTACTTACCAAACTAGGATGTAGAACATAAACTTTACAGACTATGTTGTGCCAATTGACCGAGATGTCCCACCAGACTATGGTCCTAAGCCTTCAGATCCAGTAAACCAATCCTGCGAGGTATTTGGTAATATCCCGGAGGTATCCGTGACTGTGCCCCCTACATCTTTATTATATGTATGAATATATGTGCAATGCTCACAAACAGATACACATATATATGCTCATGTATATACACACATATATCTTCTTTTACACATATGTGTCCATATCTATGTAACCACTTATTTAATTTTTAATGATGGTTGTTTTTTAACAATTGGCTCACAAAATTCCTGAAAATTTAGGACTCAGCTCTCATGAGTCAGTATAAGGCTCCAGCACATAACTGGCCTGGTAAACATAATTAAAGGCCAAGGAGAGATCAATTTCTCCCTGATGGGAAAAAGCATCAGTCAGCAGTCAATACTACAAAGTCAACATTAGACAGAGCCCCAACCCTGCCATTTGTTATGAAAAGAGTTTAATTAATGTTCTGATGGCATGACAGAGACAGAGACAGATGCACACACGGGACGGGGCGGGGCGGGGGGAGGGGAGGTGGACAGACAGACGCCATGTAAACCTCATCTACAAACCAAGGGATGCCAAGGAACCAAGGAACACAAGGAGTTACCAACAAAGAAGGAATCTACACGGCCAACCTTGTTTTGGACTTTTAGCCTCCAGAACTGTGAGAAAAGAAGTTTCTGTTATTTTTTTTTTATTGTTGTAATTAAATGAAGTTTACATTTCAAGTTAGTCTCCCATACAAATTTTTTTTTACATACGTTGTTACGAGACCCTAATTGCTCACCCCATTCCACGACAGCACACTCCTCCTTTCAGCCCCTGATTCCCCGTGACCATTCAACCAGCTCCTAACTCTCTCTGCCTTCCCATCTCACCTCTGGGGGTTTCTGTTATTTAAAGTCACTCGCTTGTGATATTTCTTTTACAGCACCACTAGGTAACTAAGACAGGAGTGAGAGAGACTAGAAAGGCAAGGGTGAGGAAGAATCAGAGAATCTCCTTCTTTCATTAGGGCTGAGGTTAAAGTCAGATCATCAGGAACCTCCCCGTGGATAAAATCCTGGAAAGGTTTGCATCTAATTTCATGAGTCAGAATTGACTCCACAGCAACTAGTGGTAGTGGTAGATCAGCACTCCACTGACCAGAACCAACTGCAGACCAAGCAACATGAGCATATCAAGACCAGTGTTCTTAATGCTCTTGCAAAATCTTGTTTATAATACCACCTATCCAATAAAAGATATTCAGCAAATGTAGATGGTGGTACTAGAACAATAAACTAGCATTTCTTTCTTCTTTTTAAAAGGAAAACAGAATTATTTTGCTTCTGACACGTCCATGTGTAGTGTGGAAAGAGAAGTGTATTTGGAGCCAGCACACCACTGAGCAGTTTTGTGGATCTCAGACAAATCACTTAGCTAGCCTCTCCCAGCCTTGGCTCCCTCTTCTACAAATTAGGGCAGAGTGGTCATAATAGCTGTGCTGTGTTTGTGCGAGGGGCAGATGAGAGGATGTGTGTGAGAGCAACTCATGAGGCTAAGGCACTAGTAACCCTTTAAAACCAATAAGTTGCTTTTGCAAATAGGTTTTTGCTTAAGTTTTCTTGTCTTTTAAAACATTCTTCTTGCCAGAGGGTACTAGACTATGAAATGAGAAACCTGCATTCTAGTTCCAACTGTGTTTGCTTGTTAGCTCACTGTAGCAGGCTGAGGAAGACAAGCCGTTTCTCTGAGGGGCAGTTTTCTCATCTCCAAATTTTAAGGCTGGACTTGTTGATCCCCAAGGGTCCTTCAAACATTCTAAAATCCCCCTCATTCCTCTCTTTCAGCTCCTCGTACTAAAAGATTTATCTCTGCTTTGACTTAAAAGCGAACTCTGAATTCTTCATGCAGCTGAGGCCTCTTACTTATCAGTGGGCGTCTTCACAGAAGTGAAGTCTCCATCTTTCTTTTAGGACCTTTATGGTGGACAAATGGGGTAGTTCTATTTTCTTTCTCAGGTTTCTGAGTCAAAACCAAAGAAAACAAACAAAAAAGATCGCAAATTGTTCCTCAAAAAGTTAAACATAAAATTACCATAAACCCATTTCCGTCTAGTGGATTCCAACTCATAGCAACCCTATGCAACAGAGTAGAACTGTCCCACAGGGTTTCCAAGGCTATAATCTTTAAAGAAGCAGTCTGTTACAACTTTCTTCTGTAGAGCAACTGGTGAGTTCCAACTGCCCTCCTTTCAGTTGGCAGCCAAGCGCTTAACCACTGTGCCACAAGGGCTGCAGCAATTCCACTCCTAGGTATACACCCAAAAGACTTGAAAGCAGGGACTCAAACAAATACATGTACACCAATGTTCATTGCAGCTTTATTCACAACTATCAAAAGGTAGAAACGGCCCAAGTTTCCATCAACAGATGAATGGAAAAACAAAATGTGGTATATCCACACAATGGAATATAAATACATGCTACTACATGAGTGAACCTGACACGATTAGGCTAAGTGAAATAAATCAGACCCAAAAGGACAAATATTGTATGACTGCACTTCTGTGAAGTATCTACAATAGGTGAATGCATAGAGTCAGAAAATAGGTTACCGTGGGCTTGGGCATAGGGTGGGGGTGGGGGGTGGTTATTGCTTAAGGGATACCGAGTTTGTGTTTGGGGTGATATAAAACTTTTGGGATTGCATAGTGGTAATGGTTGCATAACAGGGTGACTATAATTAATATCACTGAATCGTACACTTAAAATGGTTAAAATGACAATTTTTTGTTATATATATTTTACCACAATAAGATTTTTTAAAACTAAAAAAGAAAGAAAAGCAAAAATAAAATCTCAAATCACAGTGAGTTGTGTATCCATTAATGTGGCAGAGATCCTGAATAGTGACCTGGGGTTCTACATCTGTTTGGTCTACTTGGTGAGTTCAAGGTCATTTTGGGTTCAGCAGAACATCATGCTGTTTTTCCAGCCCTTGAACATCAGGAGAATGCAAAGCATATTTCCTAGTTATGTTTTACACCCATAGGGTTCCAGAATAAATTAAATACATATGTTTCTGATTCATTCACACTCTACTCACTAAATAACTATTTGATATCTGAGAAGGCTTCAGAATTTTAATGAAAAATCTCTTCAAAGCATTCATTCCTTTGAACCCAGTAGTCATACTTTTCTTAAGAATTAATTATGACCCATGGAGTTTGCATGTTGGAAACATTGCCAAAACTCTCTTTTCTCAGCCCCAGGGTTCCTTCAAAACACCAAATGTACATAATCTTAATTAAAAAAAAAAAAAGATACGTCAGGCAGGGCCAAGAAGGCAGAGTAGTCAGACGCTTTCTGTGGTCCCTCTTACAACAAAAACCTAAAAAAACAAGTGAATCGATTATATATTACAATCTAGGAGCCTTGAACATCAAAGGCAAAGTTGACGAATTGGACTGAGTGGCAGGGGGAGGGAGAGGCACTTCGGAAGCAGCAAGGAGTTGCCATATCTGACCTGGCGGGAACCGGCACCCTGCAGGCGAGATTGGCTGGCATGTGTGGTGAGGCAAGCAGTGGTGCTCAGGACACGTTTTCCACATCAGGAGAGACAGAGTGGCAGAAGGTCTACTTGAGTCTCCAGAACCAGTGAAAAGCAATGCTCAATCGGCAAAAGATAAATACATGTGTCTAACCCACCATGCGGATCAAAAAACACCCCATTTGGGAAGAACCTCTCTCTCATTTACTTGCCTCCTCCCCACTCTGCACCAGGTCACTGTCCAGCTTCGGCAATTGCCGCATCCTCTGGGCTGGAAGTAGGACCCATCACACGCCGAGTCATTCTCCTGGCCTTGGAGAGGGAAGAAATTAACAAACAGAAAAAAATAATATGCCAGCACCCTTAAGCTGGGAACTCAGGGCCGGCATAGCTCCTTTGCCTAGGCAAAGGCATGAGGGGTCCACGGACTTTGAATGCCTTTCACCCCTGCATAGAGCTGTGTGGGCCCATTTCAACAGCATAGGCCCTCATTAGCATGATACAACAGGGTGTATACCTGAAGCCTAGCTTCAACTATATCAACTATATAGTGGAGTGGTATGTTCTTGACATTTGACTCCACTCTGCCATTAAGCAGGGTCCTCACTTACACACATCAGAGGCCTGAGGACATGCTTGATCTCATAGACATATACAGAACACTCCACCCAACAGCAGCCAAGTATACTTTCTTTTCCAACGCACATGGAACATTCTCCAGTATAGACCACGTATTAGGCCATAAAGCAAGCCTTAATAGAATCCAAAGCATCGAAATATTACAAAGCATCTTTTCTGACCATAAAGCCATAAAAGTAGAAATCAATAATAGAAACAGCAAGGGAAAAAAAATCAAACACGTGGAAACTGAACAACACCTTGCTCAAAAACTACTGGGTTATAGAAGAAATTAAGGACGGAATGAAGAAATGCACAGAATCAAATGAGAATGAAAACACATTCTACCAGAACCTTTGGGACACAGCAAAAGCAATGCTCAGAGGTCAATTTATAGCAATAAATGCACACATCCAAAAAGAAGAAAGGGCCAAAATAAAAAAAATTAACCCTAAAAACTGAACAAAACGAAAGAGAGCAGCAAAAGAAGCCTTCAGGCACCAGAAGAAAGAAAATAACAAAAATTAGAGCAGAATTAAATGAAATAGAAAATGTAAAAACAATTGAAAGCGTTAACAAGACCAATATCTGGTTCTTTGAAAAGATCAACAAAACCATTGGCCAAACTGACAAAAGAAACAGGAGAAGTAAATAACCCAAATAAGAAATGAGATGGGCGATATCACTACAGACCAAACTGAAATTAAAAGAATCATAATAGAATACTATGAAAAATTGTACTGTAACAAATTTGAAAAGCTAGAGGAAATAGACAAATTTCGAGAAACACATTGCCTACCTAAGCTAACACAAACAGAGGTAGAACAACTAAATAAACCTATAACAAAAGAAGAGATTGAAAAGGTAATTTAAAAACTCCCAACCAAAAAAAACCCTGGCCCTGATGGTTTCACTGGAGAATTCTACCAAACTTTCAGAGAAGAGTTAACACCACTACTACTTAAGGTATTTAACAGCATAGAAAAGGATGGAGTACTCCCAGACTCATTCTATGAAGCCAGCATAACCCTGATACCAAAAC